TTAATCATCATACGTGGATTGTTGATTCAGGTGCAACAAATCATATAACATGTTCTTTAATGTTATTAATATTATGCAAACCTATTCAAAACATATATGTTGAAATGCTAAATGATACTAAAGCCACAATTACTCATATAGGAACTATTAAGATATCATCACTTATCATTCTGCATAATGTGTTGTCTGCTTGAATTTAGATTCAATTTAATTTTAGTGAGTTGTTTTGACAAAGTCTAAAACATATCATTTGACATTTATTCATAATGGTTGTGTAATTTAAGACATAAGTACTTTGAGAATGACTGGTCTTGCTAATGTACAAACAGGCCTATATATATTGCAAACCAAGTTTCTTGGCACTCAAGTTGAGAGTTATGCCCTTGGAGATTTTGTTTTCAAATTACCTCCTCAGAAGATTTCTAAATATGTATCCAAGAATTTAGTTCCAAATAGTTCAAATGTTTTTAATGTCAGTTGTAATAGAATTTCTAGAAATTTTGATGTTTGGCATTTTCGTTTACAACATCCTTCTTCAAATAAATTATTTGTTATTCAACAGTTTTGTTCTAATGTAAGTAATTCCAATGACATAATTTGTGAAATTTTCCCACTTGCTCAACAAAACAGACTTAAGTTTCCTTTACATGAAAAATCTACTATTTCTTATTTTGAGCTAGTCCACATAGACATTTAAAGTCTAGATTCTGTTGTTACAATTCAAGGTTATCAATACTTCCTTACCATTATAGATGATTATAGTAGATTCACCTAGACCTTTCTTATGAAAAACAAATCTGAAGTTTCTCACATTGTACCAAGTTTTTACAACATGGTTGAAATACAATTTAATCATAAAATTAAACAAATAAGATATGATAATGGACTTAAGTTTAATCTCTTAGGATTCTTTTCTTCAAAAGGCATAATTCATCATCTTTCATGTATGGATATACCCCAAATGTAGAGGAAACTTCAACATTTGTTAAATGTTGCAAAAGCTTTAATGTTTCAAGCATCAATGCCTATGCATTTGTAAGATGATTCAATTTTAGTTGCATCACATTTACTAAACAGAACACCTTTTCCAATTATTAAGAACAAAATCTCACATGAAATGTTGCTTAACAAATTGCCTTCATATAAGCATTTAAGAGTATTTGGTTCTTTGTGTTTTGCATGTACTTTAAAAAGAAATAGAAAGAATTTTGATACTAGAGTTAGGAAGTGTGTTTTCATTGGGTATCCTATTGGAGTTAAAGGATATAAGCTGAATGATTTGAAAACACATCAAATCTTCAACTCTAAGGATGTTGTGTTTTATTAACATATATTTCCTTTTGCAAACAAGAACCTTCTATTTGAATTTGATTTTTTTGATAGAATCACTTTACCTTATCATAATTTGGTTGATATTTTTAACAATGTTTCATTAGTTTCTCCATATGTTGATAATTCTACACCTACATACTCTTATAACTCATTTCTTGTTACTGCCATTCACCCTACTTCACCTACATCCCTTACTAATAGTAATTCAAATGAAGATAATTCCATTTTCACAACTGATGTCATATCTGTCAATAGTCATTCACATGGAGGTAATGTTGATGAAAATCTATCCAACTCCCCACAAGATATCAATCTTTCATTTAAACCTAGAAAAAGCATAAGAACTAGGCAAAAACTCAAATACCTTGACATATATCATTGTGATTTGCCTAGTTCATCAAATAATGTCTGTCTTTATCCTATTTCTACCATGTTTCTTGTAAAAGGCTTTCTTCTTCTTTTAAGGCTTTTACAGCAACTTTTAACCAAGTTCTTGAATCATATAGCTATCAACAGGCTGTTCTATATGATCATTGGATAAATCCCATGAAATCTGAAATTAAGGCATTAGAAGAAAATAAGACTTTGTCTGTAGTTCCTCTACTTGATTGTGCTCATATAGTGGGATGCAAATCTGTATATAAGGTTAAACTATATTTAGATGGGACTGTTGAAAGATACAAGGCAAGACTAGTTACAAAAAGGTACAACCAAGTGGAGCGTTTTGATTACATTGAAACCTTCAGCATTGTAGCCAAACAAACAACAATAAGGACATTCTTTGCCTTAGCAGCAGCCAAAACTTGGACACTTTGTCAGTTGGACATAAACAATGCCTTCTTGAATGGGGAATTAGCATGAATAGTCTATATGGATCTACCACAAGGCTATGAAGTGAAAGGTAATCATCTAACAGGCTCCAAATTGGTGTGTAAGTTGAACAAATCATTGTATGGCTTGAAGCAAGCCTCAAGATAGTGGAACTCTAAATTTATAGAATCCTTACTTAGTTTTGGCTTCTAACAATCAAAGAGTGATGATTCTGTATTTACAAAAAATACTTATACTAGTGCTTTCATTGCCTTATTAGTTTATGTAGATGACATCATCAGTAACAGCACATCAATGGAGGCCATAGAGATTGTCAAAGAATACCTAAAGACAAAATTCAAACTAAAAGATCTAGGAATACAAAGTTTTTTCGTGAACCTGGAAGTTTTAAGATCTTCTAAAGGTATTTTTCTTTGTCAAAGCAAATACACATTGGATTTGATTCAAGAGTGTCGTTTTCTTGTTGCCAAACCAATCACCACCCATATGGACTACAATATTAAGTTGATTAGAGATGAAGATGCAGAACTTCTACCAGATACCACAACATACAGAAAACTAGTTGGAAAGCTCTTGTACTTGACCTTTACTAAACCTGACATATCTTTTGCGGTGTAATGTCTTTCTCAATACATGGATAAGCCTCGGGTCGCACATTTGCAACCTACTTATAAAGTTCTAAAATATCTAAAATAAACTCTAGGTCAAGGCATTTTACTATCAGCAAACTCTAATCTATAGTTTCAAGTCTACTCAGGTAGTGACTGGGCAAGATGTAAAGACACTAGAAGATCCATATTTAGCTTTGGAATATTTCTTGGAGATTCTTTAATAAGCTAGAAGTCCAAGAAGCAATCCATTGTAGCTCGTAGCTCCACAAAAGTATAATATCGTGCAATGGCTTTAGCATGTTGTGAGGTACTACGGCTTATCTATCTATTGCATGATTTTGGCATCATTCACAAAGATTAAATAGTTATGTACTGTGATAACCAATCAGCCATGTACATATGCAAAAAACCTACTCTTCATGAAAGGAATGAGCATATTGAGATTGATTGTCATTTGATGCGAGACAAAGTACAAGATGGAACTATCAATCCACAACACGCTAAGGAGCAAGTTACAAATTTGTTCACAAAGGCACTACATCCATCTCAATTTCAATTTCTAAAAAGCAAGTTGAGCATAGAAGATATCCATGCACCACTTGAGAGGGGTTAATAGAGATATAATATTTTATATATAGTTTGTATTTTAATATTTTACATCTTTAATGTACATAATATTGGCTTGTTGATTTATAAAGTAGTAACCTGGCATTACATATAAAGATAGGATTTGTACATGTTTTTTAATAATGTGAATAAAACACAAAAAAGACAATTCAGCTCTTCCCTTTCAGATATTTCTTCCATTCTTCAGCTTCTTTCTTTCTTCAGCAAATTTCACAGTTTTGTCGAGTTACTCCATCATAATTGAACCTTGACCAGAAGAATTCGGGAAACCCAATACAATTTAGCATGTATGTACAAGAATTAGAGAGGAAAAACAATGGCAGAAAGTGATCAATTTTCCTTCTCTAATATTGCTGTCAATTTCCTCGTGCTTTAAATATTTCATAATGGCGTGTCAAGGTGTCTCAATTAGTTAGTAAAAGAAAGGGTTAATGATCATTGAACCAATGAATTATATTAGCTTGTGACCCACCAGATGAGCATTTAAACATGCAAAGGAAAGGATATTCATTGGGAATATGTCATGGATATCTCCATCCTGTTATAGATCTGATAGACGTATGATATTGGTAAGTGAAGGCTGACTCAAACAACTTAAGCAATGGAAGTAGCAAAAATCTATGAGAAATTCTATATCAGCAAGCAATGTCCAGTCAAAATGAAATCTCCTTCGTTTCAGATGTTTATATTCATGGATGAACGTGGTGACTTCTTTGCAAAGATGACAATCGACTTGGTATCACTGTATATTCGCCATGCAAGCTCATACATAGAAATTTATGGAATGTTTGATAATTATAAGTTCCTCTACGATTTCAATTTTTCTGATACAACATTTTGTATTTTCATTTTTTTAAATTAATCCCACATAAATAAGTTTCGTTTCGAAAATGATTACATTGTTAACAGTATAATATCCCTTCTAAAGATTACAATTATTGAAATATGTTTTAAAATTATTAATTTTAACCTTAAATCTTTTTATGAAACTCTACTTCGTAAATTATTTTTAATTAATCAACCAGGAATCACTGTCTTGACAGATCATTTATCTTCCAAATTGAGTGCCAACCACAGGCTTGCTGTACCAAACAATCAAAAAGAGTTTTTAGGTTCTAGTGAAAAAGAAAAGAAGACAAGCAGGAAAGGGCAGTATCGTCACCCAAAGAAGCCAAGTTTGTGGTACTGCGTTTAGTTGTATGAATCATTGAGGATAATGAAGTTAAGTAGGGACCCTTCCCAAGTGTGTGACCCTTTATGCTGAAAAAGGGCAAGCAATTCCAAAAGAAATTGTACCCAATAAAATTAATTAACAACCATGGAAGTAAAAATATCACATGCGATATTATTTTGATTGTTTATGAAAATATTTACATTCTTGACACACGAAAGTTATTTAATTTGCACGTAAATCAGATGTCCTTTGGATAGAAAGTGCCGTTCGTATTGAGTTTAAGGATGATTAATCCGATTTAAGTATGAGTTAAAGAATGAGAAGTATTATCACAGTTCAAAAGCTCTTTTTCGATGTTTAAGCCAAAACTATAAAAATATTACATACTGATAACAACTCGGGAGGGAGCAAAAATGGAAAATGGATTAGTGTGAGGAGAAAAAGAGCCAGCCAAATCCTGAATAGACACTTGCCAGTTAGCCATCAAGCGTATGCTCAGGACAGGTTCCCTTCGATACTCTTTCCTGTCTTCCCCTTGTAGAGAATATCCATCCTCTGTTTATTCCATAGGCCCTTTAGATTCCTCCACCATATCTTCTACACCATATTAATCAATCCAATAAAAGGAAAAAGAAAATTCTAACTTACTTATTCAAAATTAACACCCTCCCGCTATAATTGATCGTACAGCAACACCATGTCTCTCTCTATAAATTCTTCTCTCTCTCCTCCTTTCTTCTATCCATACCCTTCGAGTTATTATTCTTCTTCTTTCACTTTCTACCCTCCAAATTCTGTTAAAGTTTTGCCTTTTCCTTCTTTTCCAGCAATACCCATCACCCTGGTTGTTAAAAGAAGTCATTTTTCTGAGCCTGTGAGGTTGAAGAGTGAGAGAAAGAGAAGGGTAGTTGTTGTTAGAGCAAGCGAAATGACAATTACAGAGGTGAGGGAGGAAGAGGAAGGGGGAGAGGAAAGTCCTCCTTTGATTGATTCTGAGAACAACAATTCCAGGCCTCGTCGTATTGCTCTTTTTGTTGAGCCTTCTCCTTTCTCGTGAGTCTCTCACTTGCTTTCTTTGCTTAAGGAGACCCTTTTCTTTTTGATTTTTAATTTCCATGAATTCTTCTTGCTGTTGAATTTGAAGTTCTTCAGTGAAAGCTTTATTGATCTTCGGTTGTTAATTAATGTTGTTTTGTAATTGAGAGGTACATTTCACGGTTGTTATCTTTTCGGTAATTGTCTTTGTGATGTGTCAGCTGTCAATTATGTGAAAGTTTAGATCTTTGCTGATGTCTCTGGTGTAACATGATCTTGGTCTACTTGTTGCCTACTCTGTTAAAATGTAAAAACTTGGCAGTCACTAAATGCATTACTTTCTATTTTGCAGATATGTATCAGGTTATAAAAACAGGTTCCAGAATTTTATAAGATATTTACGGGAAATGGGAGATGAGGTATGCTCATTATGTGTCTGCAGTTATGCTTACTACTTTGTTAGCTAATGATGTTTATGGCAATGCCTTTAGATTATATGCCATGGAAGCTTACCCTAAGTGCCCTTGCAATTTAAGAAGCTAGAGCATTTGTGTTGGGATCAGATTGCTTGCTGTCCCATGTTATAATTATTAGGAATCGATTTCATTGGCTTTTGATCTGATTCAAGTGATTCCTAGATGGCAATAGTAATGTTAAGAGGAATAATGGTCAAACGACTTGGCTGTACAAAGCCTGAAGTTCATTCTCAGTTTCTAACTTGTGAATTAATAGCCAAATTACCAAGCAGTTTTGACCAATAGTTTTGCTGTAGTCTGCAGAAAAGTTTGCAAATGATGAACTAACAGTAATGTATTGATCCTTATAGGTAATGGTTGTGACAACACATGAAGGGGTCCCGCAGGAGTTCTATGGAGCAAAGTTGATTGGATCAAGAAGGTTGGTGTAATCAACTAATTTCAAGTGATAGGTTTTCACTATGCTATCATTTCCCTTTTGTTCTTGCCTATGCTTTCTAATTATCTAGAACTGGAAAAAAAAGTTTATTTAGAAACAACAAAATACTAGCTGCTTAATCCTTTGATTACATGCTAAGATGTTGACAAGCCAGAGAGTGACTTATTTTTAACACCCATAATAGTTAATATTCACAAGGCACTCTTAGGCATATAAACATCAGAAAGTTGGTTGGTGAATAAATCAAACAACATTATCAACCCCATAGACTAGATGCGGTAGTTAATATGACTATTAGTTAGATCTAAGTTGTGTGTTCATCTGCTTACAATTGATTCAGTGTCCACGTCTTCATCCCTAAACATGGAGATAGCCAGGTTCATGAAAGATGTTAAGCACTTTTCTTTTGTGAAGAGATATGTCATGCTCAACATTCTTACAATATATCAATTATAAATTGTTTTTATCACCCTCAAGTGATCTTAGTTTGCTTTTCCTCAATTCTGAAATTTGTTTTCATCCTACTTTTCTTTGTTTTGACTGTTTCATCAGTTTATTCTTTGGATATTTATTTCCTATACCTTTTTTTTTAAAGAAATTCTCTCCCTCCTTATTGCAGCTTCCCCTGTCCTTGGTATCAGAAAGTGCCCCTTTCCTTGGCACTCAGTCCAAGAATAATATCAGAAGTTGCACGGTTTAAGCCTGATATAATACATGCCTCTTCACCTGGGATCATGGTATGCCTCTAATTGCTGCTATTTGAGTTCTTGATATATTATTATGATTTCCTTTTGAGAGTGAAAAGGTAATGAGTTGTGGTAGGAGACACACTTCTGATTTTTGTGGACTACATTGCAGGTTTTTGGTGCTCTCATTATTGCAAAACTACTATGCGTACCCATAGTCATGTCTTACCACACCCATGTTCCAGTGTGAGTTTGATACTTCTTTGCTGCCTTTTGGAAGGTTTATCATTCTAGGTTCAAAACTAAATGAACTGTTGTATGGACCCCAACTCTAACTTTTCTTTTATTCTACAGGTATATCCCAAGATACACATTTAGTTGGCTGGTGAAACCTATGTGGTTAATTTTAAGTATGTAAGATCTTTCTTTCCCCTCCTCTTAAGCCAATATTCTTGCCAAAGTCTGAGCAATTGACAGCCTTTTTGCTTTTTCATATCAGAATTTCTTCACAGAGCAGCTGATCTTACACTGGTTCCTTCAGCTGCAATTGGGAGGGATCTCCAAGCAGCTAGGGTAACCGCAGGTAAGCAGAAACATCCTTTACATTATCAAAATAGCCTTACACAATGAAACTTGGTTGTTATAATACAAAGCTTAGCCATTTGTTTGTGCATTAATCTATTTCCTCTCTCCATTGCTTACCCCAAGTGTAATAAATGCATTTTGTGCTTTAAATATTCTCTTACTTTGCTTTTACAGATGCTGGGCTGTTGATGGTAAGTAGATAGCTAAGCTGTAAACTAACGTGCTTTTCCTTTATCAATACTTTCAGCTAACAAGATCCGTCTTTGGAATAAGGGTGTGGATTCTGAAAGCTTCCACCCTCAGTATCGCTCTCATGAAATGCGGTTAAGATTGAGGTGCTCCACTTATCCGTTATTCTGTTCCTTGCTCCTCAATTACAGTTGAACACTTTTTCTATTCTGTTCCTTGCTCCTCAATTACAGTTGAACACTTTTTCTATTCTGTTCCTTGCTCCTCAATTACAGTTGAACACTTTTTCTCTTAACGCTGCATATTTTTGCTTGTACAGCAATGGTGAACCAGATAGACCATTGGTAATTCATGTTGGGCGTCTTGGAGTTGAGAAGAGTTTGGATTTCCTCAAAAGGTACCATTTCAATTGCATGAAAAACGGTTACTAATATCTTCCTTCATAGGAATTTCCTTTCATAATTAGTTAAAACATAATTCAATGTCTTAGCTGAAAAGGAAAAACTAATGGAGTTATCTCAAATTTTCATTGCAATCATTTACTCCCTTCAATTTATGAATTTTGTAAATTTTTGACATTGGGATTGTGCTATTTCACAGCGTTATGGACAGACTTCCAGATGCAAGAATTGCTTTTATTGGGGATGGACCATACAGGTACTTCACTTGATGCACATGAATTTACCCTACTCTAAAAGAATATACATATCATGTATTAGATGGACAGATCTAATATCATACTCTCACCCGTACTAGACTGCCCTAATTGGATTGGTGAATACTTTAATCTGTTCTCACCAATTCAGGGATATTATATCTGCTAAGTGATTGTTAATCTGAATTGTTTCCTTAATAAAAGTCTCATTTAGAAAATGAGAGAAGTTGGTCAGGAAATGTAAGATTAAGCAAAAACCTTGTGCTTCTCTGTTAAATATAATATGGTCTCTTCTTTGCAGGGAAGAGCTAGAGAAAATGTTTACTGGCATGCCTGCAGTGTTTACTGGGATGTTACAAGGTGAAGAGCTCTCTCAAGCATATGCAAGTGGTGATGTGTTTGTGATGCCTTCGGAATCTGAGACACTTGGACTTGTTGTTTTGGAGGCCATGTCTTCAGGAGTCCCTGTTGTGGGAGCTCGTGCCGGGGGAATCCCAGACATAATTCCGGCAGAGCAGGAAGGCAAAACTGGCTTTCTCTTTAATCCTGGAGATGTTGACGACTGCTTGAGCAAATTGGAGCCTCTACTACGAAATAGGGAATTGAGAGAAACCATTGGCAAAGCCGCACGTGAAGAAATGGAGAAGTATGATTGGAAAGCAGCCACTAAGAAGATACGCAATGAACAATACAATGCTGCTATTTGGTTCTGGAGGAAGAAGAGAGCACAGCTACTGAGACCTCTGCAATGGCTGGCCAGACGCCTTTTCCCATCACAAGAGGTCAACTATAGTTGATGTGTGGATATATTACATAGATTTGCTTGGTAGAATTAAAGAAAATAGCATGTCAAAATAGGGATTGTGAACCTGTACTGGCCTTCAAACAGGCTCTTTCTATGGTGTATGTATGATTCTTTTGCAACGTGTTTCTTTGTTGTATATCACGTACTCGAAATTGTTTGAATGCAAGTTTTTTCCAGTATGAACGCCAAACTATGCTTTTCCATAAATATCTCTACTTTTGGTTTTCCTGCAACCATACTCTCAACTTCAAGCCAGTCACTAATTGCAAGTAAACATATCTTTAGGAGTTAAAAGGATTGATTAGTTCAAACATTTCTATTTCAAAGTTTGCTTAATATTCTCTATCAATGTGCTAAATTGAGGTCATGTGTATCAAATTTCAAGTTCCATGTCCAACACCAGCTAGCTAGCTGCCCTCATGCCGAAGGTTCCAACTAAAATGGTAACTGGACCCTGTGGCCCAACATATTGTAACTGGATCCAACACTGTGAATGTTGTGCTGGTTTTGGGCCTTTAGGGAAAGCTGATTAGAGCTCGATAATTTTTCCTTGTGGACCCTCGAACAGAAAAGTTGCTATTGCTATTATATCGTTGGAAAAATAATATTACAACGTTTTTAGTACGTTTATGTACTTTTTATGACATATATTTTTTGTTTTCAATTACTTTTAAAATTTTATCTCCTTAATTATAGAATAGGCAACTTGATTAGTGACAAGGAAATTCACACGTCTTTATATATTGGAAAAAAATTTCAAAATAAAAAAAAAACAAAACAAAACAAAAACCTTCCTTTGATTTCGTCACGTGGAAAATGAAAGCTTCAATGTACAAAGCCAAAGCCCAACATACCAACTCCGTGGTAAAAGTAGCCAAAACGTTACCGCTTTAGTTCTTATGATTGATTTTACACAAATGAAATCACAACCGTCCAAAGATCACCGCGTCTTCCGACCCGAAGCCCTTAACCAACTAACCACCAATCATAAATTGCCACCTGGGATTCAATTTTTTTAAACAGGAGGTTCAAACTACAGTGTAGTCACTCACACGATCGCGGATACGTACTGCATAAACTCTGCGTCGTTCTCAATCCCCGCCATCGTATCAGGCGCCAAAACAACCTCCAAGTCAACGCTCCCGTTCCCTTCTCTTGCAGGAAAGGCCGAGATCTTCCCGTCAAACTTATTGGCCCTACCACTCCTCACAGCCAAAGGTCGGCCCCACCCGAAATCATTATCGTACATTGGAAATCTAGGAGAACTTCCCATGGTGATCGATGCGCCGTCGGAGTTCCCTAGCGGGAACAGCCTCGGCTGCTTCTCCCAATCGGCTACACCTCTCCGCACCGTACCGTGGTCGTGCGCCACTACGTTTTTGTGAAGCAGATCGGCGCTCCAGCCCAAGTCTTTAGCCAGCAACTCGCCGGCTAGAGCGAAAGTCGGGATACTCTGAATCGCGTTCCCGAAATAGTACGGCTCGAGCTTGGGGTCCAACCTGTGCCGGCAATTCACAGCCATCCTAAACGTCGTCGTCTTGGTGGCCTCTAATTTTCTGGCACGCGTGACCGACCTCCAAAGCTGAGCACAGAGCGATTGGAAAGACGAAATCTCATCGTTACTGTTTTTCACCTTGCCGTTGGACAAACCGTTGGTTTCTCCGTTAACGGATTTCCAGCTGTCGTTGCAGAGCTTGCCCAAAACTTCGGAATTCGTTTGTTTAGTTAAAAAACGACCGTAATTAGCTCTGCATTTAAGTTTCAAAATGGCTTCTCTGGTGAAATGGAAAATCCTTTCCCTCAATGGCTCGTCGCCGGCGAAAGTAACTGTGGGTCCGCCGGGAGGGAATTTAAGCACGGCTTGAGAATTAAACACGGTGTTACGGCTAAAATCAGGGGTTTTCGATATTTTTGAAGCTCCTTTAGTCATCTCAGCGAACGTGTTGAAAAAGTGCCAGAACGAAGTCCCATCGGTCACGGCGTGGTTCACCGTGCACCCGATAAAAACCCCGTCGACTAACTCGGTCACCTGAACCGCAGCCAACGGCTTGAAATGGCCTGAGTAACTAAGCGTCTTGTCAAAAGTGAAGAACTCCTTGACACAATAGGGGACATCGCCGGGGCACAAAATGTCGTGGATGGAAACTTTAGGAGATTTCACCACGAGGAACTCTATGCCGGCGTCGTTGCACGTGATGTGCACATGCCCGTCGTGGTCTGTCATGAGACGACCGGCCAAAGGAGGGAAGTGAGAGAGAGTAGTTGAAATAGATTGTTTAAGGAAGACCACTAGGTCGTCGACGGAGAAAGGAGGAGCCGTCAGCAAAACTCCTTTCTGAATGTACTGACAGGAGAGCATGGGGATGTCCGAAACTGAGAGCTTTAAGGTTTTGACATTGGATTTCTGGTCTGGGAAAATCGTGCATTTGGAAATCAGAGTAGCTGAAGAAGAAGGCATGATGATTCTCGAAAAAGGGTATTCTTTGTTTCTTTCTTTTTTTTCCTTTGTCTTAAGCTCTCACTAGATAAACAAGAGGGGTGTAGGAGTGAGGGAAGAAGGAAGAGGCAGAGAGGGTTTATATAGGAGGAGGAAAGGCATCGGGTTCATGAACTTAAAAGCAGCTTGGTAGTTTCGTGGTGGTTGTTTCTTTGCCTGCTTTGCCTTTTTTGGCTGTCTTCTCATTATATCCATTTGTTTATGTGACGGATTTTTTTATCAACAGGGAGAGATAGAGAGAGCTTGACGTGGCAAGAGAAGGTGGAACTTTGTAACACTAAAGGGATCATTTTCCTATATTGTTTTCTTTTTGTTTTGGGAGTTAATGTTGAAGTTTGAGCTTCTACTGCTGCATCTGTAATCTTTTTCTGGTTTTTTTGCATGCCAGATTGTCAGGTAACTAAAAGAGGAAGCTTTTTTCTTGGGAGGATTAGAAAATCATGGAAACTGTCAGTTCTGGAATGCCTAGGAATCCAACAAGTTCCATGCTTTTCCTGGGAAAAAACAGATTCAGATCCCGTTATAACAGCTGCTGATTCTCGTGACCTGCGGCAATTTCTTTCAATATCCTAGCCATGTGCCCCAGATCTTTAGGATTCAGAGCAAATCTTTTGTTCATGTTTCTGGGAAGATCTTTGTATCACAACTAGTTTACTAGGTTGTACCTTCACAAAGATGATAATCTCTGCTGTCTTCCCTCATTTGTCTAGTTGGTGTGTCAAAGCTAGCTAATGGCTTCAAACTCAATCTCTTAGATTTCCTAGTGTCTATGTAGTTTTCGTCATAATCTTAGCTTAGTTTATCCTCAATTTGCCTATATCTCTGGATTTAGATTGTCTTTGATCCCAACTTGTTGGATTTATAACTATAATTTTATCTTATGTTTATTCTCACAGGAATATTAATTACACATTTTATTGATCAAAAGTATTTTAAACATATAAATATAATAAAAATCTCTCCATTTATTATCAATCGACTTTAAGTTAAGTATATCTTAAAAATTCCATATGATACCAAAACAAACATTATTTTCATTCATTAACTCATTTTCTTGTAATTCATGCCATGTAATCAACAATAAATTTGTGAATCTTGATTTTATAACTCAAAAGATTCCATTCATGGGTCTGATTTCATCTTACTGTTAAAAAGAGAACATAAATGGGAAAACTTGGTTCTCTTGTCTGGCTGTTTTTTGTTATCTAAATTGTTTGAATAATTGACAAGAGCAATGAAAGAGATGGGAGGGACTAATGTGCTAATCCTGACGTTTCTCTTTGTTGTCTCTGCAGCCACCCTGGTTTGGCAAATCATCATCAATAAGTTGCAAGAAGAAAATATGTTTTATTAGTCTCAACAATGCATTCATTTTGTCCAAATCCAACCCATTATTGCCCAAGGAGGGCATTTTTTCCAAATGGTACATGGAATACCAAACCCACTATTTTCTTTCCACAAAATGATTATGGTTTCTTGCTGTCATCTTAACCCATCAAAACCAAATAATTGAATTTTTTTTTTCTTGTTTTTTTTCACCATAACCAATATCTGTCAAAAGCCTAGCAATCTGGTTTCTCTGTTCAGATTAGTAGAAACAAACTTGGTATTCTGCAAAAGATGTTGACATGATGATTATGATAAAAGGGAAAAAGCGCCATCATTAAAGCAAAGAAAAATCCAAAAGAAAAATGAGGTCATCCATGGAAATCACGAATCAGAAAAACGAAAGTGTTACTGCTGAGGACCACACAAAAATGAAAATCGTTTTCCCCATGTGCTACAATTGCAGTTTTGCTTCTGGGAAAGCTCGAAACAAACCAGACAGATCCACGAAGCTGATAAGCTACAGAGCTTACGATGCATATTACTCTTTGCCAAGAAAATGCTCTTAGGCCTACTTGCTTTGACTAAAAAGAACAATTAACCACAGGATTATATTAAACGTGAAGCAAATGTTAATTTGTAACTCACCATGAATTAACAACCTCGACTTTGTCCTGGCTCACCAAAGTTTTAACAGGAAGGTTCCTTGGACGGTGTAAGCTCAACTTGTAGCCGACCCTGTTCAGGTTTTTTTGCCTTCTTTGCTTCCTGTTTGATGGTTTCATCTGCCAGGCCGGCACATAGCTCCCCAAGTCTATCGGTTCAAGCGTCCTGCTGCAACCAACAGCAAAAGGGTAAGACAAGTGGAAATTAAATTTACCTTGAACATCCTTTTGCTGGTGGATTTGGCATGGACCCCGTTGAGAAATGGTGTGCTACTTGCCGAAAGTGGCACTAAGGCAGAGAGTCAATAAGGTGTCGTTTTGTATTTAAGACTTACTGTTTTTCCAATTGTTAGTGATTTCACTTTCCGTTCCTCTTTCAAAATATGTTGTTATGCTTAGTGTCTACTGTCTGTTTTGTGGCAGGGTATCTATCACAGATCCCTACGCTTCTAGAATATAGGATATCAGCTCAAGTGCTCGTGCACAACTGGTGCTAGTAAATTTGGTTATCCTCCATTGTATATATTGCTCTATTACTTAATGAAAATTGAGCTTTTTCTCTTCCAGATTTTTTTCTTCTGTTTTTTATTCATTGAAACCTTTGCTTATCTTCATTTTTCTTTTCGGATTTTCTGAGTTTCCAACAGACCCCTCTTTCATTTTGTTTATTGATTAATAAATGTAAAGCAAGTGAGGGACAAAAACTATTGATCACATTATAAGCTACTATTTTATGAAAAATTCTAAAGATTACTCTAAAGTCCAAAGTAGAATGATTAAAGGTCTTACCCACACCCTATTTTTTAAATAAAGAAAATGGTGTCCTTTTTCTTCAAAGTATATAGTTTTTAATTTTAAAGTGTTATTTGAATAAATTGAGAAAACTATTTTTTTCGATGGTTGAAGGAGGAGGGTGTCGAGAGATGAGTCAAGGAAGGAAAATTGAAGGATTTGATTTTTCAAAATTGTCTTGTGCTTCAAAAAAGTGTAAGATGATTTTCCTAGATTATCGAAAGTTTTTTATGTCTTTATCTTTTCGAACATGAAGAAATATTAAAAAATTTTACCCAAAGCATATAGACTTCTAAGTTTAAATTTTCATAAATATTTAATCAAATTCAGACAAATTAAGTGCTTGTTTATCTTGTTTTTTTTTTTAACTTATCTATCTCTTAAAAGAAAAAATTAAACCAAATAAAATTTTTCAGAAACTCTTAAAAAAATAATTTTTTTAAAAAATAAAATTAAAAAAAAGCTTAAAAAAGGCTCTAGAAATGAGCTTTCTCTTCTATTTTTTCAAAAATACGTCAACTTTGCGATATATACCCCTCTCTTTTAATCATTTTTCCTCCTTTTGCAAATCACCATTCTCTAATACAAAATTATAATCTCCTTCTCCTCTACCTCTCTATACAAAGATTACTATAAAAAGAGAAAAAATAAAAGAGTCCGCAACAAAATAACAAAATCTAAAAGTTTTTGTTTTTATAAGAATTAAGAGAAAAGAAGATCCAAAATTCAAAACTCCATTTAAGTACTATTTAATGACTTTCTCTCTTATTCACAAAAAAAAAATCTAATAATATTGCTACTATACAAGTTTGAGAGTTGTTTCATTTTTTTAAAATTTTTTTTTATTTTAACGTATGAAATCATATATAAACTCGAAGTAGATTTATTCTACTTTGGTTTATTAGGTGATTAAATATATCATGAATACGTTTATAGTAATTTTAAAAATTAAAGTCTATATAATTTATTTTACTAAACAGTTTTAATTTAATTTTAAAAATTATTATTTTTTATGAAAGCTTCTTTTAAACTAAAAAAATTAAACCAAACATGCTCTAAATATAAAAAACAATGGGAGAATACAAGCTAACAAACAGATGTTCAAGGAGCTCCCCTTGCAAACCAGCTTATTAACAACTAAGGGACTGAGGGCCATTTTACTTATCTCATCAAATCAGGAGACTCAGGAAAGAAATACTCAACCAGATGTGTGTGAACTATTTCAATCTTGTGCAAACTGACGTACTCTCACTACAACCTTAATTTCAAAGAGAAAATCATGTTCACTTTTCCATAGCATATCTTCGATGTATCAAGGTAGGCCAGGCACTTGTAAACATAATCCAAGAGCTACCATAGCAAATAAAAAATTCCATGCGAGCAGCTAAAACCCACATCCCATGATCGATGACACTGCTCCTGTTTCATTTTCAGGCTGAAATGGCTTCTTTTGACTGACAATTTTTTATCCGGCAATTTTCCTTTCATGATGTGAAAACTCTTGAGAAGAGAAAAGCTGGCTTCATTTGATTGAGATAGCAATGAATTAAACAAATGAGAAAGGCTCTGATGCAGCAGTCATATCTGAATGTGTGGTTCTTGTTATGAACTTATGAGGATATGATCTTAAAGAGACCAATGAAAGGATAAACACATCTGAACAATCTAATGTGACAAGTCATGCCCCCCGAGTGTTACAGATAAGGACCCTGAGTTGAAACCGGACGATCCAAGCTTGTCCGTTGGTTTGTTTATCCAACCATTTGAGAAGGGGGTCCTACGAAATTTAATACAGTTTCCACCATTGATGGCATCTCCTCGTGCAGTTTCCCCCTTTGCGGAAGAAGACAGGCAGAGAAAAGATTTTTGATTTTGCAGCGTAACGATCGTGTGATGTCGGTAAAAGCCATTCTACCTTCCAATCCACTTTAAGCATATGAACTGGTTGATACGTGTCGAGAACCTTTGGGTGAGGGGATTGGGAAAACTTGAGCAGAACCAACGGAATTGTGAAAGGATCTAGATATTTTTTGATGCCATCAAACGCAGACGTAGGTCAAATGTACTTCTACATTCATGCATCTGAGTATAAATTGTCAAATCAGCCGTTGACAATGATATAAAGAAAGAAAAAAGTAAGGAGGACCAGCCATTTTAGCAACTGTCAGGTCCACCTATAAACATTTTACACAATCATCAATCTAAAACTATATATCCCCTGCGCAGGTAATTAATTCCCAAGTCATTTCAGGTCAAAAAGCCCAAAATATTCACCCGATTATTGAACAAAATCTCTGTTCCTTTTTTCCTTCTTTTTAACTGTGATTTTTGTTCTTCGTTCCCCCATTTTCTTCCTTGGATTTGAAACCTGGATAAGATTCCATGTTCTCTCATCACAACCAAAATCATTACTTTCTCTGAGAGTCTATGGATCATCCAATATGTCTGGTAGCTTTATGATGTGCTTCTAGACATTTGGAAATTATGAGAGGCTCACATGAAATTGGAAAAACAACTTAAGGCAATATACCAGAAAAACATATTTGACCTTGTTCCAAGGATAATATACCCCATTTTTCTCAGGTCCCACGTCTGGTGTTCTTCGAGAAAAGTAAATAGTAGCAGCAATGGAGGTGGGAATTTTAAATACGCCAACCTCTTTTAAGTTGGCCTGAGAAGAGGAGACCAAACACAGTGCCAACAAGAAAAAGGCTAGTTGCTTTCCATTACTAATTGATAAATATGTGTTTGGTTTGGAGCTTTTGACTTATGGTGCTAACTTTCCACTAATCCTGGTCTTGGATGATTTTATCTGATTTGGTAATGACAACTTAATTATTGGAATGCTAATGATTATTTGTCCATGGTGCATGTACGCAATGATGCTATAACAGGTAGAAAAAAAAATAAAGAAAAAGAAATCAAGAATCTGCTAGCTGGACCGTTGCATTGATACTAGTAGTTATCAAATTGGTCTATAAATTACAATATTTTG